CTCGGCGCGCCTCGGCTCTGCCATTGTCAGAGCCCCAGCTACTATCGGACGCTCGAGAGGGATGCGTGAAAGTCCATCTGCCACGGCATTTTTCGTACCAGATACTCTTTCGACTGTGTAATCGTATAGCCGAATCCATATTAACCATCGGGCGATGGCCGGGTCCGTCAGACTAAAGTCCTTCTGGAGGACAGAGGCAACCGCGGTAGGGTCTACTCTCAAGATAAACCGTCGCCCATAGATATAGTGTCTGAACGTGTCTAGACACCAGAGAACAGCTAACACTTCTTTCTTGAATTGACTGTAGTTACGCTCAGCCGTATTAAGTGTCCTACTCTCAAATCTTAACGGCCTTTCCTACCCTCCAGCGTCCTTCTGAGACAGCAACCCACCTACTGAACATGGCCCAGCATCCGCGGAAACTATGAAGGGTCTCTCGGTCTCATCGTCAAAGAATGGCACGCCCAACACGCGTCCTCCCTCCTTAAATTCGTCTTTAAGTTCTTGCATAGCGAGTTCCTGCGAAGAATCCCAATAGAATTTTTCAGTCTTTCGAAGGAGTAACCTCAATGGCTCAGCCTTCTCCGCATACCCTCGTATGAATATACGCCAGTAACCGACCACCCCTAGAAACTGCCGGACCTCGGTTGGGCTATGTAACGGTGAAGGCCAGTTCGAGAGTTTGTCCAACTTCGCCGGATCTGCTCGGCGTCCTCTCGAGTCACAGATAAAACCTAAGATCTTAATAGTCGAGACGGCCCAAAGGCTCTTTGTTCCGCCGACTGTTAAATTCGCATCGTCCAGCTGCTCGAGTACGGCGCGAATATCTATTAGGTGCTGCTCGACGAATCTTCTAACCCCAGGTACAACCTCTGTTTCATCCCTGTCTACTGACCCTTTTATAGGAAAGTCATCCAGAAAAACTTCAACCTTATCAGGGATGAAGTTCTAGAGGACGACTACCATGGCTCTCTGAAAAACGGCCACCCCATTAGTCCATCCCATAGGGACAACCATCATTTGAATTAGTCCCAATGGCGTATGCATAGCCGTGAGGTGTCTGTCCCTCGAGTCAAGCGGTACCTCATCATAGCCTGAGAACAGATCACAGACCGAATAGATCGACCTACCCGCTGCGCCTTCTGCCAGTAAATCGGCGTGTGGCACGGAGCCCACATCTCGTATCGTCACCGCGTTGACCTTCTGAAAGTCCTGGATCCATCGGATCTTGCCATTCGGCTTCCGTAGGAAGAACCATCGATTTGCATAAGCGCTATCGGACGGCTCCGCAACATGGGAAACCATCTTTTCTTTCAGGAAGGCGATAACTTCTTCCTTCTCCTTCTGGGCGTATTTCCATCTCCGATGTCCATCCCTGCTATTCTCTCTTCCGTTAGGCGTTGCGGCGCCTTTTTCTTTCTTTCTTTGATTTCTTTTGCGATTTCTTCTTCCGATATCCCTTCTAGTGCAGATCGCTCGCGGCCCACCGCCGCTGGCTTAACTTTCTGTGCTACTCGTTTGTGTCGCTTGGGTAGCCCCCCATAGGGGGCCGTGCCCTTAAAAAAGACACTGATACCACACCGCCAAATTCCTCATCTTTTTCTTTTGGGTACGAGTTACCGTCCACTAYTAGCCGACTCCCTAAGTCTTCCACCTCCACTATCCGACCTTCTTCCTCTGTGAGCAGTGGTCCATATTTCTTCTCRCGAAATCGCACCGCGCGGTTGGAGATAGGCAACGACTTRATCTGATCACTGGGTCTTGCACCCACAGCGAGAGCTGCTCTGTTCCTCGGGTCCCGAGGCTCCACTGTCTCAATCATTACCCGCGTCCCGTCTGGCTTCTTAATGGACAATGTTTGGCTACCATCAGGTCGCTCTATCGTCACCGCATGCACGTGGCTSAGCCACGTYCGACCCAAGAGCAGGTCGGAGCTGCAGTTYTTGACTGCAAAGACAGGCAGGGTYACTCGYACCCCTTGGACCTCTATGGCTGCCTTGTGACAAACYCCAGTGATCYGTTGCTTTCTCYCATCAGCCGTCTCTATCTCGAATAGGTATGACCTATCGAGGCCCAGTCCAACTTGTACCGCCAGGTCCTCGTCTATGATGACAGCCTCACTGTCGTTATCAATCACAGCATCGAGTACCGCTCCATCGTTTATAATCGTTTCCACGGCCCCGCTACCAAGTATATAAAACTTGTCTGGAGGCACACCTTCCATTCCATCAAGAAGGACTGTCGCCATGCGATCCACTCCGGCGGTCACTCCCGTTACTGCTACTATAGAAGCTTCCGCCTTAGGGGCCCTCTGACCCTCCTCCGATAGAGGTATGCGGGTCTTCCTCGTGATCATCTGTAACTCATCACGAGCTGGCTTCGATGCCGCCAGGTACTCCAGAATAGAGCACTGCATGGGTTGCCGAAGGGCCCGCCTCAGTGGCTCGACCGTGTCAATCTCGTCCAGCGAACTCTTCCTTAAGAACTTCTTCACTCCCCGCTTTCGCGGTGAAAGGATAACCTCCTCTCCATCGACCCGCTGCCCATCCTTCTCCGCCATCACGTAATCCGTGTCAGTTTTCTTCGATGTAAACGCTCTCGCCGACTTGGTGGCTCCCACCCTTATGGGTGTGGTCACCATGTTCCCCTCAAAGGTTATCTTGATGCTCTAGCTCCTGACCGGCTCCATTCCTTTACTCGTCTTTATTCTCCTTGCTTCGACATTCTCCTTCATCGAAGGGAACATCGATACATCTCCGAGATCATCTGCCCACTTGACGTACTTGCGGTCGTCAAGCACGACAAGTCCCTCTTCTATTGCCCGTTTGAGGTCCGGGCAATCCCTCTTGATATGATCTTCTCCTCTACAGTAGACGCATGAGTTCCTCGGAGTTGATGCCCTGTCGTCTGCACCTCTAGAGATCGAACTCCTGGCCGCCTTGGGGTCAGGCGACTTGGGATATGTTTCTGATGAGACGCCATATCCCCCTCTCTCATTCTGACCGCGCGGATCGTTGCGCGGGTCTCCTCCAAACCCTCCTTGGTCATACCGCCCTCGCGAATCATCCCGGCGGTCCCCCGAGTTATATCGTCCTCGTGACTCATCACGTCGGTCCCCTCGGTTGTACCATCCCTGCAACTCGTCACGCTGCTCTCTCGCATTTCCCCCTCGCTCAAACCGTCCGCGCGACCCATCTTGTCATTCCTAGTCCCGATCTCCTCTCTCATATCTACTTCCTCTGTAGCCATATCGACCCGACCTCTCGTATCTGTCGTCCCTATATCCATCTCGGTCCGATCTCTCATACTTGTTGTCCCTATATCCATCTCGTCAGTTCTGTTCTGTCTCCCATCGGCCGCGGGAGTCGCCTCTACCCCGATCGGCCTCATAGCGAGGACTTCGCGGGTAATTATCCGGCCTCCTTGCTCGCACAAACGGCTCGCGATCTCTGCGGTCTCGGTCTACCTCATCGTCCCTACGTCGCCATGGCTCATCGTCTCTCTCTCTTCCCCTCGTTCGATAATCAGTCAGCGTCCGAGGATTTCTATCCTGGACACTCCTCCAGGGATCGTTGTTCCTACGGTCCCAGCGAAGTGAATAGGGCCCTCCAGGTTTGTCCCGGTAGGCCGTGRCCCCTRTRGCGGTCACAATCTCTGTAACCTGTCTCGTTAATCCCTTCACCATGTCCCGTATCTCCTTCACTTCCTCAGCCACGRCCTCATTCTTCTCCGACCAGGGATAGTCCTTGAAATCAGGACATCTATCAGTGGCATACTCCTTGTAGAGAGAGAAGTCACGTCTCCTCATCCCTCTCCACACCAASTCCTTGTAATCGTCTGCCTCGTCCTTTATCGCGAGCTTTAGGACTTCTGGGAAATCAAGCCTGTCGCGCGGAAGATCTTTAAGTATACTCTTTAGCCTACCTTTGGACAAGTGTCCGATAAAGATAGTACAACGCTCGACCTCTGAGATCTTCCCCTTCTTCATCAGCACGTCGGAGATCTTCTGGAAACGCATCCCAAATGCCCGTACGCTCTCATCTTCATCTTGAGTCATTGTTTCAAGGTCCTTAATGGAATACTTGTTGTCCTCCAGTTTGTAAAGTTCAACGAGATTCTTCTTGTACGTAGTCCATTTCCCATCCTTCGGTCGAGCTTCCTTAACTTCCCTACCGAGACTTGGGTCCACATTAAATAGGAAGTTCTTTATAATCTCTTCCTCCGACCACTGACTCCGGCTGGCGTGAAGCTCCCACTTCTCCAGATATTCTGTGATACCATAACCCCTGAAGGTAGGAGACTCTGAGACCTTGTGCGTAATAATGTAGCGATCCTTGCTCTCGTAAGGGAGCGGATGTGACTCCCCTGTCTGGGGGTCGAAGACCCGCCTAGGCGGCGCCCTGTCTCTATCTCTGTCCCTCCAACAGGAATCCCTCAAATTCTCTCTCCAGTCGTCTCTATGCCTATCCGCTATGGTGTCCCTCCGCTCGTACTCGGGCGAGCGTCGTCTCGTCGTCTCTCTTCGTCCGCTCGAGGTACCCGTCCTTAGAGCCTCCTGCGGCTCTGTTGCAACTGGTTCGCCTCTTACGTCGGGCCCTCCGTCATTGGTTTGGTCAGCCCATCTCAGCGGTGCTTCTTGCCTAATTCGTTCCTTCAGTTCTCTCAGAGCTCGGTCGGGCGATGCCCTATACTCCTCTCCCGCTTCGCCCGCGGTCGGTTGTGGCCCCATCGTGTCGGGTTCCATTGGACCGCNCCGCTTCGCCCGCGGTCGGTTGTGGCCCCATCGTGTCGGGTTCCATTGGACCGCCAGAAGATGCAATTAGGTATTCTGGCCAACTGTTACAGTCGTTGGAGCCCGGACCTGTTTCCTTATCACGGCTCGCGTCCGCCTCCAATCTTAGCTCTCGACTGCCTTGATCACCACTTCCAGTATCTCGTACCCCAAACCTAACCAATGTCTCCTGATCAACACCCCTCAAGAGTCTCCGAACGTCTATCCCCGTCCTCCCTGTCCTGAATCGGTTAGCCCGCTAAAGGCCCTCCTACTGCCATCCAAAGTCGTCCATCGACCTTTCTAGCTTCTTCCTTCCTTCCAAGAGCTCCCAATTTCTATTTCCTCTACCTTATCTCCTCTACGGCTACGAGGTTATCTGTCTAACAGCTGAGGTAAGTTAGTGCTATAATCACTTGCAACCTCTTCGCCGACCGCTCCAATATGTCATAAAATGTCTCAAAGTCCTCCTCATCTCCATCATCGTCTATCGCCTCTAAAGTCTTTATCGTTTCCTTCCAGTACCGGTTGTGAGCGGCTAACACCCTGAGTATTGCACCATCTATTACAACTCTCCCTAGCTCTCCGACTTTCCTAGCTTCGGTTATCTTCAACCTCTCCGCCTCTCTTGTCATCTCGTGCCATGCCCTTATCCTAGACTGCCCTTCGAAAGGTGTCACTTGGAGCACATATTTAATCCTCCGTCCTCCTTTTATCCCAATCCAAAGTCCTGTCCCCCTCGCCTCACGCAGGGCACGGCGGAAACACTCTGCCTCCTCAACTATGCACAGTCTGGTATGGAGTTGGAGTTCTATGATCACTAACACTAATGGTCCGTCCAGTCTCCCTACCACATGTAATGAGTACCGATCCGTCGTGTGTATTGCAGTCCCGCTCATGTCTCGTCGGTACTCCCCTGTGTCACTTTGTTTTCCGTTGTCTCGCTCTCTCCAGATCGCATACTAGTTCCCTGGCGTGATACGCTTCTAGCCTTTACCTTCTCCAAAAAGTCTGATCTCCACGCCTGGATAATCTCYCTTTCTTCCCTAAACAGATTGTCCAACTCTCTTGTCACGAGTTCAGCCCTTCGCAACTTGTCCTCGTCTTGACACGACCAATTCTCCTTTAACTTGTCCCCCAACTTCTTTACCTGGTTCAAGAGTGGTTCTTTAACGCGCTTTCTCACTCTTCTGACTGCCTCACTCTCCTCTTCCATACTCAGTCCACATCTTTCTCCAGCTCATCCTCTCACCCTCGCTCTAGCCTCTTCTACTGTCTCATCGCGGTAGTGCTCCGCGCGCATATAACCATGAGACCATATCATCACATCATAAGTAATCAAGGTCTGGAAGGTCACTCGCGCCAGTACATCAGCTCTACGCTCGTGGATCAAATCCCTAGCTCGTTGTCTGCACTCACTCGCCGTCAAGTCCTCGTCTAAGTACGCTCGGAGAAGTACTGTCACAGTGCATTCTGTGCTTACCAGTTGCTCTTCTACACGTATCGCCGTGGTCGTCCTTCCCGGCATTCCCTAAGCTGCGACCTCGAAGAGAAATCTCGCGTCCTCTAGCCCCGCGTAATCGATCTCTGCCCGTCTCCTGCAGTACCTAATCAGATCGATAGGCCTCAGACAGTCCACCCAGCTCGTAACATCTATGATGTCGTCAAGCGTCTCTCTACTGGGCGGCCCCCACCTCACACAAATGGCGTAGCATACTTCCTTGAAGCGGGGCGCTAAGCCCTCCCAGAGCGCGTAAAGTGTGTGATCCACTGCTCTCTTCAAACGATTCACGCTCCCATAGGTCTGGCCTATCACGAAGGTAGGAAGTCCGAATCGCCAATCCTTTCTCGGGTAGAGGGTCGGATGTGGTGGACCGTATACCAAGCAGCTCCTACTCGTCCTCCCTCCAGAGAGTCTCGCCAATTGCTGATTAACGATCACTTTGGCCAACAACTCTCTTCTCCACCAACTCCTGCTCGCTCCTGCGAGCGTTAGCCCTATCTCTAAATTGTGTGTTCTATCCGCTATTAGATGTCCGACCCCTTCTAGTTCATGAGTCCTCTCGGGTCGTTCGTCACATATTATCACTGTCCAAAGGAAGAGCCCCTCTCCGAGCCACGTTCCCAAGTATCGTATCGGTACACGTCCTGCCTCTTCTAATGCCACAGGAAGTGGTACGTCGTATCCAACCGCCGTCTCTCTGGGTCCCACAAGCTTCCTCACACTATACGATTCGGACTCTCGCGTGAGAACATAAGCTAACCAGGCCGCTGAATCACTCCTCATTTCTTCTCCTACTCTCGATCAGCTTCACTCTACTCCCCCCGATGCACCCCATCTTCCGACGTTGCTAACCCTTCAGACAACTCTCGCACTCAGGTCCAGTATGGTCGAATAGGTTCAGTAGCCAAGCTCACTCAACCGTCGGCCTGGTGTGCTCCCCTATCTCCTACGCCCTGACCGCTACTCCTATCCTGGGAAAATGGGCGTCTATAACGTCAATCTCCTCCTCGTCAACCTCACTCTCTGGGTCGACCCAGTCAGGCTCCCACAGCTCCTCGTCGTCCTCTCGCTCCCAACCCTCGTCGTAAAACTCGTCCTCGACGCGGTATGGTGCCTGTCCTATGGCCTGGTAGTATTCCGTCAACTGATGCCCATATATCAGAGGTCGCCCGGCGTCCTCACTCCACCAGCTCCCCCAGTCGTCTGAGAATAGCCGCCCGATGCAGGTCACGTACTCGGGGCCTGCTCGGAGCTCACGGTCCAGCCAATCCCAGACGCACGGAGACTGGGGCCACTCGTCGTCTATCGAGCGGATCAGCTCTATAAGTTGAACCCTCTCGTCTCCCCAACGAGGCCCACCAGTCGCGAGCGAATAATAGATATAGTCCAGGTCGGCAGGTCTTCTCGCCAGGATCTTGAGATCCTGATAAGCCAGGTATGTCTCGACCACTCCACCAATACYTCCRAAGACGCTCTCTACTACGAACGTCGGAACTATCGCCCGCAGGCTCCTAATGCTGTACGGAAAAAACCCGTCCCGTGCTATTACGAGCTCGCCCGTGATATCAAGAGGAGGGCGTCCGTGAAATAGGGTCAACGGGTCGCTCGCGTCGTCCGCTCGGAAAGCTGCTACCTCTTCCTGTAGGTAGCGTAGCGCCCTGCTAACTTCATCACTACTGCCTGTCGTCGCGAGACCCACCACGGCCTCCTTGACCGCACCCGGTCCCAAATACAAGTAGGCTCTCACTACGCCCACTCTTGCCCCGGCCGGTGCTCTCTGTACGTCCAAAGCCACACGTCCTCGGACAAGATTATGGACCTCCACGCAAACTGGCCGTCAGCGTGTCGAATGCTACGTCCGGGGATCGTGAGCTCGACCAGATCCCCCTCTATGAGTTCAGGGGGCTCTAAGTCCCAGTCAATRGTAGCCCCATAGACCTCTACTTGCACCCTGGGCCACATTCAACTGGCGGCTAAAAGAACGCAGCAAGTGGAAGGTGTAGATTAATAACTCAAAATTAGGTTCACCTGAAACCAGGTTACCGCAACGTCTCTTTCCCTTCTCCTTCTAGGGAATTCTTTTGTATTTTTCAATTATAAATTAAAGAAAATGTATTTAGATGAGTTAAATTTTCTTTCTTGGTTCATATATATTAAGGACCAATACTTATATAAGCCCGCCGAGTTTGATGTTTTTTAGGGGTAGAAATAAAATTTCGGGATTTTACTAAAATTTCGGCAGCGTTTCGCCTCCCCCCCGTTGGGATGGGGTTCAGGACTATTGTCCCTAGACAAATGCTACCTACCTAGAACTAAGCCAAATGAAACAGGAGGAAGGCCGCTGAAAGAAACAAATTTCTAATGTATTTTTAATTAATTTCCCTAATCGCTTTCAATATATATATACATATAAAAAGAATTAATAATTTAAATTAGGAAATTTTGCGAAGTTTTCGGCTGCATTTTGGCTCCCCCCCCGTTGGGGTAGGGTTTGGCCGAAGACCTCAAAAATGCGGACGAAAGATGTTTAACAAAATTTTTTTAGCTAATTTATAAGTATTTTCTTTAATTATTTAAGATTTAATTGAATAAAATTCAGCAAATTGTCGAGTAATTTCGGCAGCACGGCTCCCCCCCCCGTTGGGATGGGGTTAAGCAAAGTATCACCCGAATCACAAAGTCGAAATAAGGTTGACTCCCCTTTCTTGTAGAATTTTTGATAATTATTTTGATTTTTAATTAATTTTAAATGACAAATTATTACTTAAAACAAATTTACAACTTAAATTATTTAATAAAACAAAATTCYCAATATTGATTAATTTCAATTTGGTCAACTGGATTTATACAAAATTTTCTCATCACCGGTCGGATAGAAAGACTTGTATCCGTCCGGCTACGCACCGCCCTTCCCTAACTTAGGGTTAGGGTTTTACCCTAATTAGGGTTTCCCCCAATTAGGGTTTTTGGGTTTTGCGCGTCACCGCACGCCACCACGTACAACTTCTCGGGACATAAAATTTTCCGTCGGTTTGTAGTCAATTAAAAGCCGGGTTCCCTCGGATCACTTTTGCCGCAGAAATCTGTTTCCGTTTTATTTTTATAAAAATACAAAGAAAATCACTATTTCATTTTAATTTTCCCCTCTTTTCCTGTCTGTTGGCGGTCACCACTCGTCCAAACGGAGTCCGTTTTCCCCGACTAAGGTCTCAAAATGTCGGGAAAAATACGAGGACCAACTTTGGTCCGGGCTGGTTTCACCTAATTTCACTTCTTTTCTTCGTAATTAAAATAAAAGGAATTGATGATTTTCGGAATTTCAATTAGAAAAATACAAAAATTTCCATATCTCTTTTTCTAGCCGTTAGAATTTCTCAAAAAACGTCTCAAAACGTTCACCTCGACGAGAGGTCGAACTTTGCTCCCTGTGCGCCTCGCGCAAAAACGCGCGGATCGGGAGATATTGAAAAAAATGAATTAAATATTTAAACTCCTGATTTTAGGGGGTTTTAATTAAAAAATACAAAAAATTCCATTTCTCTTTTTCTAGCCGTTAGAATTTATCAAGAAACGTCTCAAA